AACCCATGGACACAGTTAATAACGGGGTGAAGGCCTGGGGAGGGGGTGGGAGCGAAGTGGAGGGGCCTGTTGGGGGGGGGAAAAATGGGACACATGTAATACTCTCAACAATAAAGATAAATTAAAAAACAAACAAACGATTGGTAACTAAGGTACTTTAGATGGAGGGATTTCAAAGAGTTACTGCTTAGTGAAGAAAACAAGACACAAAAGTTTGTACAGAGTGATCCTATCTTTATAAAACAATGACATGAATGAATATGTATATGATATATTTGTATATGAACATGAAAAAAATTAGGAAGGATTCATTCTAGGCTGTTTACATGGGTTAGAAATAAGATGAGGAGGAGAGGAGGGGAGAGGAGAGGAGAGGGGAATGGGAAGCCAAGCAAAACAGAAAAAAAGAAACTGCACTACCCAGCATGGATGATGTAATTTTGTTTACATACTAAAATAATTTTACATATATGTAATTATACACACACATATCTATGTATACACATTTATGTATATATTTAAAATTTTTTAAAACCTACACACCCACTTTAAATAAAGAGTGAGGGTTGACCTAAGGGGAATTTACTGTATTTCACCAGAGGCTGTGGTAGAAGTAGAGCTAGCAGATCGCCAACCAGACATAGATTTAACCATACCTTGGAGAAAGATGTGCTTGATGATGGGCTCTGTCACTAGAGTGTGAAACAGATGGTGCAGGTAAATCACACAGCACTTCCCTGTTCTCTCTTTGGTATTTATTAAAGTAATTGACCGTAATTTCAGTGAGTTCTTGACAACATGTATAAAGTACTCGAAATGTGCTAGGGCACATAAAATATGAGTAGTAAAAGTAATAATGATATTTTATGAAGTGGAACTTTTTCCACAGGGAAACTTTAGATCTTTCTTTTTTTCCAACTTGGGAGAGAATAAGAAATAGTCTTTTTTTTTTTTTTTTTTGGCCAGGCCAAGGCCTAAATACAAGATTATAGAGAATTGTCTTTGACATTTTCATTTTTCCCTTGCAGTGTGCGGGATGACAGAATTCGAGTAGAAAGGATGGATGCCATGTATTTTGAATACAGCCATGCTTTCCAGGTGGTCACAGAATTTTATGCAAAAGATGTGGTTGACATCAAAGGTAAATTATATGTTACCATAGGTCCTCAAATTTAATGGAGTTGAGGTTTACATAAAGGTGCAAATTTGACCTTCGATGTAGTGAAAACTAGTTGCCAGTACATAGCTGGAAGAAGCAGAGGAAAGAGTTTACTGTTCTCACTCATCAGAGCAGGACGATAGCTCTCCCTTTGTAGTTATGACCATTTAGCGATTTGATGTTTGACCTGTCCATTGTAGTGTAAGGAGTCACTCACTGACCAACTTCCCTTGTTCCTCTTAAAAGATGGCCCATCATTTTCCTGGCAGCTTTATAGGATGTTTGGATAAGTAAATCTCTTGATGAAGGGTAGCATTTCACAAGGTTGATTACCAGAAGTTAAATACATAAATTCTGGAAAGAACATTAGTGACAGGGTCTGAATATGTTAGGGAACCACTGTTTGTCTGATTCACATTTCCTGATCCAGGTATCTATGCTTGCTTTGGTCCGGACCCCTCCTTCTTGCCAGTCCAGCTTATGTGAAGGTCCATTTTTATCCCTTGTCACAGGCTACAGAGCCTTCACTGTTAGCCTATAGATAGATCAGCCTCCCCCAGCTCCCTCCCAGGCATCAGTGTCTTAGCGTTTCTCTCCCTATCCCTTTAATCTCATGGTGCCTTGGCCAAATTGAATCGAGTGTTTCAGGGTGTGACCCACATCTGACACCAGTCTGCAGTATCACCAACGGGTCATCGTCTTATGCTCAACTAAAGACAAGACTAAGTCACAAGATTACCATAAGCCACTCTTGGCATCAGATCACTTACAGCAGGGATGGGGAACATTTTTTCTGCCAAGGGCCACTTGGATGTTTATAACCTCATTTGTGGGCCATACAGAATTATCCACTTAAAATTTAGCCTGCTATATTTGGTCAGACATTTAATTAGCTCGCCCATACAGTGATGGCTGGAACTGCTTCTCTCTGGTGAGGCCTTGGCAGGGCCAGACCAAATGATTTCGTGGGCCGGACATTCCCCACCCCTGATTTAGGATGTAAGACCAAAAATCTAACTTGCCGGAAGGGCACGTTTTCCTTTTAGTGGGAGTAGTCCTCGGTGGTCTCTGTAGCATTTCACAGAGCCATCGGTGCTTACGTTTCCCTTCTCCGCTAGTGACAGCTTAGCTGAAAGGAAAGGAGACTCTTATTAGGTGGGTGCAGGGTCATCCTGGCTCAGAAACCCCATGTTCTGCAGGAACCCACTTTCCTTGCTGGAATTTCTACAATGGACATGCCAAGTTCAAAGAGGCATTGTGCTCTCAGGGAAGGCCAAATTTCTGGAATCAGGTGTTCATAACTCCTCCTAGTCCAGGTGGAATTTACTGATTTCAGGTCATTTTTAGCATATGCAATGTTGCTTCATAACACACTGGCATTTCATCTTTATCAGGTTTCCTGGGTAATGGAGCTAGAAAGTTAATGGAAGATAAAATTCTCATTTCTAAAAGTAATAAATGCCTATTGCAAAAAAAGTCAAAACATAGTTGTGTTTAAAGAAAAAAGTAGCCCAGCCGGGCTTGGCTCAGCGGTTGAGCGTTGACCTAGGGTCCAGGCGATCGGGGTTCAATTCCCGGTCAGGGCACATGCCCGCGTTGCGGGCTTGATCCCCAGTCAGGGGCGTGCAGGAGGCGGCTGATCAATGACTCTCTCATTATTGATGCTTCTCTCTCTCTACCTCTCCTTTCCTCTCTCTGAAATCAATAAAGATATATTTTAAAAAGAAAAAAATAATAATAATAAAGAAAAAAGTAAAAGTCCCCCCTCAAATCCTTATGAATCTTTTTATGTACAAATCCTCACATGTACACATAAACATACATATGTGATTGTGTGTATTTGTTTATTAACTTGAATTTATTCTTTCAGCTAATTTTATTGGAATGCCTATTGTGTGAGGCCTTGCGCCTTCAATAAGGAATAAAACACAGAATTCCCCACTCTTTTGGAGTTTACATTCTAATGGGGGGAAGGTGAACCATAAAATAAGTTAGTGTGTTTGAAACTGGCAAGTGCTATGAAGAAAGTAAGGCAGGGAAGAGGGTGAACTTTTATTTTATTTTATTTTTTTAAATTAAGTTCGCATTCAATATTGTTTTAGTTTCAGGTATGTAACATAATGGTTGGACATTTATATAACTTACGAGGTGAGCCCCCTGATCAGTGTTGTACCCACCTGACACCGAACATGGCTGTTACAATTTTGTCGACTGTATTCCCTATGTTGTACTTTACGTCCCTGTCACTGTTTTATAACTGCCAATTTGTACTTCTCTATCCCTGAGGGCGAACTTCTAAACAGGGTGGTGAAGGAAGGCTTCACTGAGAAATGGCCCTGGAACAAAGTTGTTCACAGAGATGGAGGGAGTGAGGGAAGCCGTGTGAAGGAGCTGCGGGCAGAGAGAGGGAAGCACAGCTCCCTCAAGTGCCTCCTGTGTTTAAGGAATAGCAAGGAGCTGGCGCTGGAGCAGAGTAACCAGTGGGGAATGTTAAGAGGGGAGCTCAGTGTTAAAGAGGAGGTGGAAGGCAAGGTGTGCAGGACCTTACAGACTTACGGGCTTAAGCTTTTTCTCTCAGTGAGCCTGGGGATGTTGGAAGACTTTTTAGCAAAGTCTAATGATTTGATGTACATTTTAAAAAGGATTCCTTCGGATTTTTGTTAAGAATTACCCTGTGGGGCACAGGGATGAGCTGAGAGACCAGATGGAACACTGTTGCAAGATTGCTGCTGAGAGATGAGAAAGATGGTACAACTTCTTTTCCTCACAGGAGTGTAGTGTGGATAGCTTTGCATATCAGTACAGATGGCGGTAAGTCATTCGTATCAGCAGGTGTATAATAATCTGGATTTACCACAATTTAACTGTTGCTCTGTTGACATTCAATTAGATTGTCTCTAGTTTTTTGCTATTACAAAAGATTTTTCAACTCCCTTGTTTACACACCTTTGGCATGCATTCTGGAGTATTACTGGGTCAAAGGAGATGAGCATTCTGCATTTTGAAAAAGTTGCTCAGTTGCTTTACAAAGGTTTATTCCACGCCAGGCAGCACCCCTTCCCCTCTGCCCACAGTATTCGTCATCGTCTGCATTTTTCCAGAGGGCAGTTTTAGGTGCTATTGTCTAGACAACTGTTATTTCAATAGCCATAAATTAAATTTTCTTTAACTTAAAATTTGTTTATAATAATGGTGGATAATAATTCTAACAAAGGTATATATTCTGTTTTTTAGGTTCCCAAAGTTTTTCTGACATCATTAACTTGGAGAAGCCTGTGATTTGCTCTTTGGCTGCTATAATAAGATACCTCAAAGACTTTAACTTGGCAAAGGTGCTTTCCAAACCCAAGTAAGTGATTTTTCAAAAATAAAAAAAGGGGTGGGCTTATATTAGCAACATCTCTTTAATGCGGTGAGAACTATACTCAGAATTTTACTTGCTGTTGATAAAGCACTCTGTCCGAGGGCAAGGATGAGCTATGTGTTATTGTTGCTGAAGAATATTAAAAATATTAACTGGTACAAAAACATTGATAGAATCCTTGAGAATTTTGTCAGTTTGTATTCATGATAGCTATTTAATGTAGTCTAGTTTTTTGACTACAAAATGGTGCTTTATTCTAAAGCACAGTTAATTAACCAGTAGTAATAAGAAGTGGGATTAAAAAGCATTCATACGAGAAGGAAGATGGCGGCGATATAGGTGAAAGCAACACACACCTGGCACTGATCTGGAGTTACAGCTAAAACTTAGAGCATTTAACCTGAATTAACAACAGAAAGACATCTGAACAGAAGTATTATATCCAAGGAGTGAAAAGAAGAAGCTATACAGAGACTGGTAAGAGGGGAGGAGGTGCAGAAAGGACTGGTCCCAGCACCCAGGGGCAGCAGCTTTAGCCAGAGAAATATTGTGGCTGCAAAAGCCCCCCAGAGGAAGAGAGGGTTCTCAATCCCACACCAGGACCCCCAACCCAGAACACCAGGGCCTGAAAGAAGAGCCTGCATAACATTTGGCAGCATAAATAAGCAGGGAATTGGCCCACTGGAAGGGGGAGGGAGTCTGCTTGAATCCCAGGCGAACGTTCTGCATAAAGGCTAACACACGGGCACTTACTTGCAGGCACTCACCTGGGGCTCTGTTGGAGGCAAGGAGACTCAGGGCACACGGAAGCCATAAGGAGAAGATCGGGGTAGCATAGCTCCAGTGATCGGGAAGGCAGGCTTTTAAGTCCCCAGTCCCAAACCAACATCCCACACCTTCCCCAGACACCATCTCCCAGGGTCCAGCACTTCTGTTCTTTCATCACCAGCTGGAGAAAGTGCACTGACCCTGTCTTCCAAGTATTGGCAACACCACCCTGCCAAGCTTGAGTCTGGCATAAAGAACCTTAGGCTCTACTCAAAAGGGACCTGAACAGTGCTTTTTCCTCTGGAGAAACTATAGACAGCCTTAGACAGACTTTGAACTGAGTGGCTGGGAAACAAAAGCTAATCTTCCCACCTACCCCCCACGGGGTAGGCGGGCGCAGTCCCCAGTGGAAGGCGCCCTGGGCAGGGTCTCAGGCTTTAGGAAGCTGCAGAATGAGGGGGAGGTATATACTTGCAAGCCTCCCTTCAGGATATTTGGCAGGCACCACCAAGCTAGAAAGCCAGCAGCTAACCTGCTGAGATCCTGTGCCACCCCCTACAAGGGACAGTCTGAATTTGCATTCCCAGAGCCTGGATTTGCATTCCAAAACCTGCCTACACAAGCCTAGAGCAGATCCACAGGAGGAACAAACTGCAGTCCAGATCTGGATCTTTGGTACCACCCCCCTCAGAGGCCTTCACTAGGGCATCTCACAGTGAGCTGCAGGAATAGAGAAGAGCAACAAGCTGTCTCCCCACAAGAGCTGGAGCAACCCCAAGCAGAGGGGGCAACCTTAATCTATTACTGCAAACCCTACCTGCACCATCCTGCAGGGGCAGACTCAGGGAAAATGGGTCATAAATCAGAACTGTGAAATCTGATGTGACCCACTAGGAGCCTTCCTTCCAGAGCTCTGTAGTGGAGCCAGGAGAATACCTACCTCCCTTCTTGAGGGCTAAGGGCCTGTTCCACGTCAATCATAGAGTGGCTAAAACTATCATCCGCAGATTCTACTGGTCCCACCCTGCTAATCATATCCACTGGGGAATATAAGAGCTTGGACATTGGACCTGACTCACTCAGGGCACTTCAACAGAGCTTCTGGCAGACCACTGCAGATATAGGAGGAGGCAAGCAGCTCTCTCTTTCCTCCCAAGGGAAAGCAGCACTGCAAGTGGAGGGGGCAACCTTCTTCTCTTCCTCAAAGCCCTGCCAGTACATCCCTGCTGATGCAGCCTCACAGGGGAAAGGGGACATAACCCAGAGCTGGTGTGAACCCCTTGGAGCCTCCCTTCAGGGTCTCTGATGGGGCACTGCTGAGCTAGAAGGCAAGCATTTAGCTCCCCTCTTGAGGTCTGAGAGCCTGTGTCACCCCAATCAAAGGGAGGATTGGATTGGCACTCCCATTTCCAGCTGACCCCATCCTGCTAAGCTCATTTCCATGGGGTGAAAGTCAATCTCACCCAGGAACAGGCCAACAACAATCAGCTCCCAGTTACAACAGGAGGGTCCACATAACCCACACAAAGGACATTACTAGAGCATTAAGCTTAGGAGTTCAAGGAGACTTTACCACTGTGTTCCACAGGACACTTACTACATAAGGCCACCCTATGAAGACTGGGAGTCATAGTAGTTCTATCTTACACATAGGAAAAATGCAGAGACAACAAAGAAACAATCCCCAAATGAAAGAAGAAAAATCTGCAGCAAAAGCTAAATGAAATGGGAGCGAGCAATTTATCAAACACAGAGTTCAAAATAATGGTTATAAGGATGCTCAAACAACTTTAGTGAGAACTACAAAGAACTTAATGACAACTACCTCAACGTGAAAAGGAGATAGAAACTCTAAGTAAGACCCAGTTGGAAATAAAGAATACCATAGCTGACATCGGGAACACATTGGAAGGAATTAAAAGTAGGCCAGATGAAGTCGAGAATAGAATCAGTGATTTGGAAGACAAGGTAGGAAAAAACAACAGAGCAACAAAAAGAAAAAAAAAGGAACAAGGATACTTTAAGGGAACTCTGAGACAACATACAACATGAAACCTAACAACATCTGCATCCTAGGGGTACCAAAGGGGTAGGAAAGTGAGCAAGGGATAGAGAACCTGTTTGAAGAAATAATCACAGAAAACTTCCCTAACCTGGTGAAAGACAAAGCTACAAAGTTCAGAAAGTTTATCTTTCATGATAAAACCAAAAGGACCCACACCAAGACATATCATAATTAAAATGGCAGATATTAAGGAAAAAGAGAATCCTAAGGACTGCAAGAGAGAGGCAATCCGTGTACTACAAGGGAGCCCCCATAAGGCTTTCAGCAGATTTCTCAACACAAACACTTCAGACCAGAGGGAATTGGCATGAAGTTCTCAAAGTAATGAAAAGTGAGAAACTGTAAACAAGATTGCTTTATCCAGCAAGGATATCATTTAAAATTAAAGGTGAAATAAAGAGCTTTCCAGACAAAAGAAGGCTAAAGGAGTTCAGTACCACCAAACCAGCATTGCAAGAAATGCTAAAAGGACTGCTCTAAGAAAAAGAAGGAACAGTGAGAGAAAGGTACATCAGCATAAAGGTGGAAATGTCATTAAATAAGTTTATATCAATAGTAACCTTATATGTAAACAGAATAAATGCTCCAATCAAAAGACATAGGATAGTTGAATGGATAAGAAAACAGGACGCAAATATATGCTGCCTACAAGAGACCCACCTGAGAGCAAAAGATTCACACAGGCTGAAAGTGAAGGAATGGAAAAAAATACTTCATGCAAATGGACACACACAAAAAAAATCTGGAGTAGCAATACTTATTTCTGACAAAATAGACTTCAAAATAAAGACCATCACAAGAGACAAAGATGGTCACTACATAATACTAACGGGATCTATCCAACAGGAGGAAATAACCCTTATAAATATATATGCACCCAATATAGGATCATCTAAATATATAAAAAATTTCTTGGTGGACTTTAAGAGGGAGACTGATAGCAACACAATCACAGTGGGGGACTTTAACACCCAAATGTCATCACTGGACAGATCATCAGGACAAAAAATCAACAGGGAAACATAGGCCTTAAATGACTCACTAGGTCTAATTGGTTTAATTGACATTTATAGAACATTTCATCCCAACGAAGCAGAATACACATTCTTCTCAAGTGCACATGGAACATTCTCAGAAATAGACCACATGTTAGGGCACAAAACAAGTCTCTACAAGTTCAAGAAGATGGAAATCATATCAAGCATCTTCTTGGATCATGATGGCAAGAAAGGGGAAATCAACCATTCTAAAATCAAAAATATTCAAACACACAGAAGCTAAATAGCATG